CCGTTCCTGTCTTGTTTTATTTAGCATTTTTATGTACCAATTGTCAAAATTTTGGTGTCGATCATTCGATTTCATCCTGGACACTACAGAAAATGGGCTAAAAGTGTTAAAAACCGGAATTCTCCATTAAATTCTGGGACTAAGCCGAGACTAGTTTAATACAACTCAAGTAGGATACATGCAGCCTAGGATAAATACAAATTGTCAGTGTTGAAATCCAGAAGCCAGGGTACATTCCATTTTAATTCCCCTTTTTTTCAGTCAACAGGACAGACTGCAAAATACTATGAGTGTGTGCGACTTTCGATGGGTGGAAACCTGTTAAACAAGTTTCTTAGAGGCCAACTTGTTTTTTTGTTTTGTTTTGTTGGCTGTCCTCACTGGCTGCCTATGAGGGAAAGGACAAAGGGATAAACATGATAAGGCAATGGCCAACCTGCTAGGAAGCAATGTCCCTTCAATCCTTCAAAGATCACAGACAGGTCAAACCTATTTCCTTCGTTTCTAAACTCTGACCAAAAAAAGAAAAGAGGAAGACCATGTGGGAAGTAGTCTCTGCTAAAAATGAAGTCATTTGGTAAAAGGGACACTTTGCTTTAATTTAAAGGAGAAAGTGTATATTTTTATGTAACATACACTCAAGACAAAAATCAGGTACCCAGAACAACTCATCATGTATCCGGAAATGCAGTTTCAATCTTTCTACACCACTTTAAAAAAAAGCACCAGAGCGTTTTTAAAACAAGCCAAGCAGCAACAAGTAGGCCAGTGGCATTGAGATTTCAGTTGACAGGTGGAACTACTTACGAGTATTGCGAATCAGGTGGGAATTATAGGGTGTGGCACCGAATGAGCAAAAATTGTAAAAATAAAATGGATATTTTTTATGTTATTTTTTAAACGAATCAATAAGCGGGTGAGATTTAGGGGATTATAGAGATATTTTACAATAAAGGCTGGTTTATGAGGTGTCCGTCAATCATTAATTAGAATATATACCAGTAAAATAGCTGCTCCAGGGTTAGCTTAAGTTTTTGGCTAATGTCCTGCCAACGAACCCTCCCATTCAGTTTTATTACACTATCCAGACAAACCGGAAATATACAGCTAAATGCAGCAAATATCTAAAATAATTTACCACTTTTGCTTACCTGCCGACAAAATTTTCCAGAACAGAGCTCTTTCCTGCGCTCTGTCCGCCAACCACGGCTATCTGAGGAAGGTCTAAGTTGACACTCTGACCGATTGAACTGAATGCATCTTGTAGCTTGTTGATGAGGGGAATCAGGTCTTCCATGCCCCGGTTCCCCATTGCTTCGTTAGCTCAGAGAGCTCTTCAATACACCGCAGACCGGAGGCTAATGTTAGCTTAGCAGCGAGCAGCTCTCGGGTTACTCTCAAAGTCTTCAGCGCCACCGCTTAAAACAGTTCGGTTCTTTTAACCTCACTTTAAAAGAACAATGTGTTTGTCCGAAGAAATACGCAGTTCAGACTAACATAACTTTATTTGCTTCAAAGCGCATTAACTAGGAGCTCGGCGAGTCGAAACGGACGGAAAAAAACTCGCAAAACAAAACTTCCTCTACACAAACGCTATCCGGTTTGAGGAGATGACGTCAGATCAAAACCGGCCATCAAAAGGCCCACCCCCGTTTCCCCCGCAAAATCAGAACAGTTTACTGGCTAATTCACATGTCTTACACCAGAATCGTATTTTCATTGGCTGCTCAAAGGACATGTTCGTCACGCTCGGCAAGAAGCGCGACTCTAATTGGTTCCTTCAACTCTCGTTTCCTGCTTACGCTCGAACTGAGGAATATGTCTGCCACCAGAAACTCAGAAGCAGATGGGAATATGAAAGAAAGCAGCATGCATTTTAAGAAAGCTTTATCCGCAGCTCCGGCTCTCTCCCTGAAGATTATTGCCGAATGCCCTGTGACCAAAGCAAGAGCCTGCGACCTGACTCTGCCTCACTGCACAGTCAGCACGCCGGTTTTTATGCCTGTTGGGACTCAGGGGACCTTAAAGGGGATCACTGTGGATCAGCTGGAGGGTCTCGGTTGCCAGATCTGTTTAGGAAACACATACCACTTGGGTATGAGGCCGGTGGGTAGATACAATTATTAAAGCTCGTTTATTGTTGAATAAAACGCCACATTTCATTAATTTTGGGTTTAAATAAACTTAGACTCAACTTTATTAATCTCTTGGGATTACTCCTTCAGGGAAATTCTGCTTCCAGTAGCTTATTTAGAGTATAAAGAGTTAAAGCAAGATGCCATTAAAGATAAAAATACAACAGACAATATAAAAAGTGTATATAGTGCAAAATAGCATAACAAAAAGTAATGTCCTGGAATATGATTCCCTTAGATGTAAAAAATATCTGCACAGTAGAAGGCTAAATGAATGTATCTAGCTACATTTGCACCAGGAATTGTTTTACACAACCATTCATTTATTTCTGTAACTAAAGGCAATAAGCCAACCTTTCAGTTCTTATATCTGTATATGATCTCATAGTATTTACATATGACTTTTTTCAGGGAATGGAAGTTGTTTAAGCAAATACACTTTAGATAGATTGATATAAATATTGTTTAATGTATTTATAAATCATTTGCTTGTGTTAAATGTGTCAGGCCTGTGTGCCTTTAGCTGACTCTAAACTATAACTGCAAAACCTGATGTTGTCAGGTTCAGATGGAAATGGAAATTTGTATTAATAGTTTTATGTCAGAGTAAAAAAAAAGACCAACTTTTCTAATGCTTTTGGTGGTTTGTATTCATTTTTCTCTTCACGTTTTCTAGGGAACGGAGTTGATAGAGAAAGCCAACGGTTTACATGGGTTTATGAACTGGAAGAGAAATCTTCTAACTGTGAGTATTCTTTCAACTCTCTGAACCAAATGTAGAGAACTGAGCTTTATCTGTAAGAACTTTTTCTCTAGGATTATAAATAATGGTGCACATTATGTTACAAACATATTTTCATTGCAGAGTTAATATCAGATTTTTAGAAAAAAAAAAATAATAATTTGTTTTCTTTTTTCCTCCAGAGCAGCATTTGATATGACAGAGTAGTAAGGCAATAGTGAGAAAAATTTGGGAGGAATTTGTCTTTCTTCATCTATCTGACTTTTTTAAATTCTATTTTTTATCAACAGTTCAGCTTTATTCTCAATTCTATATTTCCACTTTATTCTAAACATTTTAACGTCACTGACTTGGTGAAGAAGAAGGGGAGAAAAATTCCTCCCCCATTTTTCAATGTGGGCCTTATTTCCTGTCCTAATTTTATGTTCAACAATCTCTAGTGAAGCATAAAAAAGGTTGGCTCTTTAGCAGAACTACAGTCAGCTTTGAATCCAAATCTAGACCAAGACAGTCTGCTAAGCATCACCTGGGAAAAGATGTGCAAAGATTAAGACACAATTTCTTCCTTGTTCCCTTTTAACACTTCAGGTCTCTCTTCTCTTAATTGGTTTCTCTATTCTTAGGCTGTTTAGCTGAGTTTACAGTAGAATTATCTCTACTTTCCTCAGTACTTTTGCAGCCATGCTGACCTGTTTACTCTGCTGCTTATCAAAGGCTCCGCCCCTCATTAAAATCCTGTATTTGCTTGATTACTTAGTCAATTAGTCAATTGTTATTATCAAATCAAATAATTGAACTCATAAAACATTGTGTAAAAAGCCTTTTCCTTAACGAGCCAAAAACAGAATTGGGTAGTTCCTTTAACGGTCGTTAACCCTCCTGATTAGAGCATTGCTACATTAGTTGCCCGCAACCAATGGGTGATAAATGGTATTAGAGTTTTGGAAGTAAAACAAATGTGGAAAAACTAAATTCTTATTACTTAATTTAACAATAATATCTCATTGCATTGCCTGATGTTTTGATATTGTGGTGATTTTAATAAATACCCTGGAAATAAGGGGTTTAGTTACAGTTTTTTTTTTTCCCCTTTTTCTTGCAGGACAGTGGAGGATTCCAAATGGTGTCTCTTGTTGAACTATCAGAGGTTACAGAGGAAGGTGTCAAATTCAAGTCCCCTTATGATGGCAAAGAGATCTTATTGAGCCCTGAGAAGTCCATCAGCATACAGAACAGCCTGGGTTAGCAGGGTTTAAATCGTTTTTTTTCAGTTAGACTATTTTAACTGTTAATTCCCATCAAATCAATGTGCTTTATTTTTTCTGTTGCAGGGTCAGACATCATGATGCAGCTGGATGACGTGGTCAGTAGTACTGTGAAGGGACCGCGGGTGGAGGAAGCCATGCATAGATCCATTCGCTGGCTGGACCGCTGCATAGCTGCTAATAAACATCCAGACAAACAGAACCTTTTCGCCATCATCCAGGGAGGACTCAATGCAGAGCTCCGCAAGGCCTGTCTAGATGGTAAAAACAAATGATACATGTTTATAAACCCCCATATCAAAATCTTTAGAGATCAATATCTCTGTCTGCATAAAGAGATCATAGAAATATCATATATGTACTCTCCCATTGTTCTTCTACTTGCAGAAATGATTCAGCGGGACGTTCCTGGGTTTGCCATTGGTGGCTTGAGTGGAGGAGAGGAGAAGGACGATTTCTGGCGGATGGTCACACTGAGCACTGACTACCTGCCACGGGAAAAGCCTCGCTACCTGATGGGTGTCGGGTGTGTTTGCATGCACAGCTCACACTCTTAATGGGCTTTTCACACGTTAATCAACAACTTAAATACCTCTAACATGCTGCAGGTATGCTGTGGACCTGGTGGTGTGTGTCGCTTTGGGATGCGACATGTTTGACTGCGTCTTCCCAACCCGCACTGCAGTAAGCTCTTTTCACCTCACCTGCTGATTAAAAAAATAAAAATAAAAACACACAAAATTCTTCATTTTAAATGTTTGAACTACACTTAGACTTTATTCCAAATGTTTCTGTGGATAAAATCGTTCTTTCCATCAGAGGTTTGGTTCTGCCTTGGTGCCTTGGGGGTCTCTTCAAGTGAAGCAAAAGCAGTATGCCAAAGACTTTCAGCCCATAGATCCTGACTGCCAGTGCCCCACCTGCAAAAGGCAAGTCAATGAATAACCGTTTATGTTTGCTTTTAGCTTTTATATTGGGAACATTTTAGGGGAAGATTTGCTAGCAATATACGCAATGTGACTGGAAACTGCTGCAAATTGTTTCATCAGTGGTGGATTGTTGGAGGAAAACGTCTGAAATTTATTTTAATAGCTTTTTTCACATCTTTTTTTTTTATTGCAGACATAGTCGGGCTTACCTGCATGCTTTGTTCAAGAGTGACACCGCGGCAATGCATCACATCACCATTCACAACATTGCCTACCAGGTCAGTATTAGAAAAATCTTGCAGGATTATCATTAGCTAATTAATAGTAAAACATAAATGGAGTCGAGATGATTTTAAAAGAGGTTTTCCTTCATTTCAAAGATCATTTTTACGGTCTGCCTCTTTTTTTTATTGCTGTTTTAAAGCAAAACAAATGATCCTATTGTTGTTTAGGCATAATCCAGTCAAAGGAAAGACTAATGGTTTATTCAGTAATGGTGATCTGGATGAAAAATGATGATGGTGTTATTTTAAAAGTCTGTTTCAGTCAGTTAACAGGTTTGGGTTGTGTTTTTATTTGTTTGTTTTTTATTTTTCTAGATGTTATATGTTAATTATGCTCAAAAGTGAAGCACCTCATTCTGGTTGCATGGTAGGCGCTTTTATCGCAGAGAACAGCCATAAATGTGCCATAAAAGCTCACTTTAAAGTCAGGAGGAATCATTTGGTTGCTTTATGGGAGATGCTGATATTTTCAATCTAAAAATCTTGGCAGTCACAAGCTGTAGCAGCTTCTATTTGTCACCGAGGGGCACTTTCCTCTTTACTGATTCTTCTTTCAAAACAGCATTTATACTGTTTAAAACACTGCGTTCACTCAGTTTATTTTTCCCTTCAATGTTTTATTTATTAGCATTTATAATCATATTTATTATTATTTGATTATTTTTTTATAAATCCAATCTCTCTCATGGTTAAAATGGATAAAACAAACATGTTGCTCACATTTTTGATCTCACATGTGCTGAACACATGAAGAAAATGAAATTAAATCAAAGTTCTTTCAACAAATGATCAGTTTATAAGTGTGCTCACCTTTGCAAGCAGGTTCTATTAATCTATTTTAAAATATGCTTTAGTAACAGGTGATAATTTTTTTTCCAGAGGTGTTAAAAATGTTCATATTCTATACTTCAGTAAATATGTACATGTGCACTCTGGTAAAAGTGCCAATTAAATTATTTTACTTCAGTGAAAGTAAAAAAGTACAGGCTTTACAACTTTACAACGTCCTTAAGTAGAAAGGTAAAATGAAGGTTTGCCTAAAATGTTACACAATATGTTTTTTAAGCTGTTTAAGGGACAGTTTTATGCACAAAAACAAATAATACTTTTCCTCTTTTGCTCACTATGTTGGAAGAGGAAACATAATAGAAATCACTTAGTCTTGTTTTGTTCTAAATGATAATTTTAAGACAGGTTTATATAGACCGAACTGAACAGAAGTCCCACATTAGCAGCTGGATACTTTTAGAGCTCTGGTATTTACAGAGTTAAATTTGCAATAGGATTAAAATTGAAATAATAAAAAAAAAGTGAAAAAAAGATAAAAAAAAAGTGTCAATTTACAATCAAATTGGGGATAAATGGTTAATGTGTTATATTAATAGTAAATTTTCTTCTCACTCTTGATTTTCCTACTTTGTTGCAGCTGCTTATGTCATTTTAAACATGTATAGAAGTAATGCAGCGGTTTTGAGAAAGTAAGACATAAAATGTACAGATATTTTTGTCTGAGAGAAAAAAGTCCTTAAGTTAAATACTAAAATACCTATACTGGAAAAAAAAAAAAAACTTAAGTACACAATACTTAAGTATTCAATTCAGTTTATTAGTCATCAAGAGACACTTTACAGAGGCGTTTATAATTAGTTACTTAACACCTCTGTGTTTTTATTAAAGAACAACAGAAATTATTTAACATAGTCTCTACTTATAAAGTCTTTGGAAACCACTCCATCTAAACCTTATTTTAAGGATCATGTTTCCAGAAGGACAATGACAATCTTTCCACTAAATCTCCTCTTCTTTTCCTTCTTTGTTTGGCAAACGGCTTACTGAACAAAACTCAAGTTAAACCAGGTTCTAAAAGCTTTAGATATCAATCTGTGCCTGATTGTATCTGTGGAAGGCAATCACAGTCTGAGAGACCCTGCCTTTTCAATTTGCAAAGCACAAAGGATCTATTACCCAAAATCCCCCCAGGGTTTATTGTCTGAGCCCAGATGCAAAAACTGAGACCTCCTTATTTGACTTTTCTGCTTTCTCAAGTTTAACCTCTAGGTGTCACTAATTGTTAACTTGGTGTGCTTCCTTAGGATTTCCTTTTTTCCATATAATATTCCATTTTATTTCCATTATATTCTGTTTTAATGATTTATCAATAATGAATAGATATAAACAACCTGCTGCCACCTTTAAGACAGGTTTGTATAAGCGCTCAGAATATCCTGACCTAAAGCTGATCTAGAGATCATAATGTACCTCTAGAGGTTACAGTAATCATATCATCCTTTCCTCTTTTATGACTGTTTTTCTTTCCAGCTTACTCTGATGCGTTCTGTGAGGCAGAGCATCGTGGAAGGCCGCTTCCCTGAGTTCATACAGACATTCATGAAGCGAATGTTTCCATCCAGGGATCAGTACCCCAGCTGGGCGGTGGATGCTTTGGCTTCTGTCAACGTGACTTTGGAATAGGACTTTTTAAGCCCAAAACTCCAAATGGAGAAACCCGTCAACCATGGACTGTAGGAAAAAAAAAAAAAAAAAAACATTTTTGTACCCTTTTCTTAAAGATTTTTTTATATAAGCTTTTTAAGCTCTTTCCAGTTTTATGAGAACAATTTAATTCGCTTCTGTTATTTCAGTGTCTGACATTATAAAAATAAATTGGCTTTAAAGGATGATTTAAACGCATGAACATTTCCTTTGAAATTCACAGTTTTTGTTACCATGGTTACAGAGGGATGCCCTCCTATTTCCTTTTTTTATTTCTACTTTCCTCCTAGTCTTTTTATACACTTCCTGTAATGTATTTTAGTTTATTTGGTTTCAGCATTTCTTTGCTATTCTAAGTAATATCTCCCTAGATTTTAACCCTAGACTCAACACATCATGCAAGAACTGATTAAAGATTATACATTTGCTCCATGATGGCCACCAGAGGGCAAAATGGATGCATTATCCTCCTCATCTCTGTCCAAAAAAACACAATAAAACCCAAAAACCAAGTAAATAAGTTAAATGAAAGTGGAGAGGAAAAATTGAAGTGTACAAGCTAAATGGTTTTAAATGGTTTTGAGATAGGATCAACACCTGAGCTCATATAAGTGTTAATTTGTCAGGGTCAGATCGTGGAGGACTCATTTTAATTAATGGAGGTTAATTTGAATAACATCTGTTGTCAGTCCTCCTAAGTACCCCATTTGAATTGCATTACTCCTTCTCTTATGACCCGAGGCTCTCCAAGATTAATCCCATTTCATTTTTATGGGTTGTCTATGAGCTCAAATATACCAGAGACCTTGGCTGTTTCATTCAAAATGTGAGCTAGTGAAAAATGAGTTGAAATAACATATATGGGCTTTTAAAAACTATATATTAAAAGAAAAAACTTTTATATTGTTTAATCAGTGTTATTTCTGATAGGATTATATCTTTAAAATGGAAATGAGTTGATTTCCCCTCATCTTCCACCTCAGCTGGGTATAATTAATTATATTCAGTTTATGGATGAGAGAACAGAAGCTCTGAGCTCAGTTGGCAAACCATGCAAGATCATGTTAAATGTCTTCAAATGAATATACACCATTTAAGCTCTGCAATAAATCAGCCGGTGAGTTCTCTTGTATATTTCAGCTGCGCTGTTCTAAACTTAATTATAGCTTACTCACTTGAAATGACTATTTAGTTGGTACATGCAGTTAAAAATGCGCCTCTGAACGCCTCCTTGGTGTGACTGACATTCTTGGGGGTCAAAGCAAGGGCGTAGGTTTGATTTCAGCTTTGGTAGGGACACTATTGGTCTGATGGTCCTATGCAAAAATATGCATGCTCGTTTTCTTTTTTTGCTTGAAGTGAAAATCAGGGTGTATTTCATTTAAGAGAAAATAAGTATTTCTTGCTACATTTATACAAATTTTATACGCACTACACACACTAGATGCTGTTTTTCTATGTTTGAAGCATCACTGGCTCTAATGAATGTGGAATTAGGACTATTTTCCACTTTGAAAAGGTTTGCATTTGAAATTACCAGCAACTAAGACAATAAATACGTGCCTATTTAACCAAATATATTTGTTTTGAAGATACAGAATTGTGCAGAAGTAAACAGAGGTAAACCCCACTCTTATCTTTTAAATGTTCTCTTTGTATCATTAAAACAAATAATATATTCAACAACAAAATAATAGATTCAATGGATGCTAAATAAATTTATTTTGCTTACATGAGCAGTGGCGCTAGAAGAGGAACTGACACTGTGCATTTAGAACATTAACTTTGCTCTACAAGTTGTATTCTACATCTAGGCAGTGGTTACTCTGTTTAACCCATTTCATGTATTTTATCTAGGGCTAAAACAATTAATCAGATTAATCTATTATTGAAACAATGTCAACAAATGTAGTAATCGATTAGAGAGACTCTAAAACATGCCTTTAGTTCACTTAAAGCAGGAATTATACCAAAGTTGTAAAATATATATATATATATATATATTTTAAATAAAAAATGTTTTCGTCTGTCAATATTCTCCATCCGGAAGTCCTCTACTGCTGCAACAATGCTGTATTGTAAATTATAAACATGTTGTTCACATCTAATTGTTGGTAGGGACTAGTAGGTCGGTCAAAGGTGGATGGTTGGACAGGTTGCAGAACAGTATTAAGGTCAGAGTTCAGTCTGAATATGGCGCATTTCGCCTTTTTAAAAATTTTGATGCTGTAATACACCAGTTTTTTTTTTTTTTTTTTTTTTTTTTTTTTTTTTTTTATGCATCTGCAAACTGTCCGCCTCTGGGTGCGCGCCTGCCCTCAGAGCGTCCATGTGGAGCTCAGACAGAGAGGATGCTGCTGCTGGAAGAGACCACCAGTTGCGCTCAGCCTGAGAGTGGAGCCTCCCTCCCCTCCAAGCATCGCTTCCTCGACTTGTTGCCTCGTTTCGACTAGAAGTAAAGCTCCCGTTTTGTGGCGAAGGAAGAAGAAGGTTTCCTCACTAGGAGGGAGGCTGAAGACAGCGCCATGAGACGGATCAATGCGCTCCTCTTTCATTTACGTTGTGAATAGCAGGAGGAAGAGAAGCGGAGTTGTTGGTTTGGAGGCGCAGGTTACGGTGGTGTTTTCTCACCAGCTCTGTTTTCTGAGGAGGTGAACCATGGTGGAACTTGAAAAGGAGGTGCTACCGCTGCCCCCTCGGTACCGGTTCCGAGACCTTTTGCTCGGGGACTGGCAGACCGATGACAGGTAAGATACCAGCCTGCCTGCGTGGAGCTTTTACGCACGGCGCGCTTTTATCTGTTGCGCATCTCTGAAACCACAGAGAATCAGGATGAAGAAAAAGTGGCCTGCTGCTCCTCTCTTAATGAAGTTAATAACATCCAGGGATTACTGTTTCAAGTTTTTTTTTTTTAGCAGCTTTAAACCAGTTAGACGTTATAAAGAGTTACACATTTCCCTATGTGTCACTAATGTTATCTGCCATCAACACACCACCTCTGGGCATATTCAAATTCATGAATTTGAAACCAAAAGGGAAATAAAGAGCCAGTATCTGGATAAAAAAAAGTCTACATGGTGCGTTATTGTTACAAAAAAAGGCTGGGTTTGGAAAAAACAAGTAAATAAACGACAATGAGCAACCAGAAGCAGAATGGAAACAGTCGGGGAGCTATTCTTGTCTACTTCCCATCTCTAAAGGCTAAAAGTACATCTGCCACCTTTAATGGAAGCTCTGGACATCTGGTAATTAACCCTAGCCTACAAACTATTTGAAGGGCAACGTTTTTTGACGTGCTGGATGAAATCAATTGCTTTAATAACCTCATTTTTCTTTTGCTGCCACATGGAAATTTTTATTCCCCCCTTACCCAAGCCTTATGTCTCTTGTTGCTAGGTGGAAACCAGGACCAGAGCTGTTGCTTGTGGTCTTGAGTGGGTGTTTTAAAATCAGATAATTGGGCGAACTTGCTTACCAGCCTGTAGGTCCAAACATTGCCACACAAAGCAGGAGTCCTGTTTAGATGTCCACCTGACAGAGAAACACTATGTTCCTCTCAATGCTGCTTCTGGGTCTCGGTTATTTGTTTTACAAAATGGTGAGGGAAAAAATGCCATGCAGTTTATCTCCTTCCTGACCTGTGGGTCACCATAGCTGCTCAGCAGAAGGCTGAGCCGCTTTGCTGTCTCTGGCTGTGGCTCCTGTGGCCTCTTGTAATTTGTGAGCTTCAGCCCAAGGACTGATGTTCCATTGCAGGATGACTAGAGAGATCTGATTTGTTTTTTTCTAAGTCAGTGAGAAAGGGAGGGATTTTCTATCAGGAAAATTACATCATCCCTCTGAAGAAGAGAGAAAACATGTCTAGTGAATGGTCACAGTGTCATTTGAACTACTACTGCCGCCATATTGAATGCTTAAG